ACACCCATCCACCATAGCCATGCACCTTCAACCTCCACCTCCCTCCTTTCACTCGTCCGCCATAGGCCAGCCACCGGTTAGGATAAGTCAATGATCAAGGTCGATTAGGATGTCAATCTCTCTCTCTCTCTCTCTCTCTCTCTCTCTCTCTCTCTCTCTCTCTCTCTCTCTCTCTCTCCCGTGCTCTTTCTCTCTCTCCCTTTCCTCTCATCTTCCTCCATTCCTTCAAAGTTCCTTAACCTCTAAAGCCTTCCGCTACCCCTTCCCCTGCATGGCATGTGACTAACTTCTATCCTCACCGTTACATTGCCAGGGAACGAACGGAAAGGAACTTGGTCCTCACTTGGTGGAAAGCGAGGGCAAGGGAAGGGCTGCCGGTCCCTTGTGCCACCAAGAAGGAAAGGATACGAGGCTATTGAGGGCGTTGGTGGGAGCGAAGAGGAGTGTTGTTTTGGACAAGGTCAATGGACTCAACCATCTTCCCGGACTGCATGACTAAGTAAAGAGCGTGGTTTGCCTGAGAACAAAGATGAAATGGGGAGAGGCACGAATAAGACCGAGCGAATGAAACTTAGGCGGGCGGAAAGGGCGATGTGTTGACCCCAATGGGGGTTGGATGCTTGTCTCTCTGGTTGCATTGGACTTGTGCAGGTGATTGTCAAAGATCACATGTGCAAAATCGGGACGGGAGCTCGGAGTCTAGGATTGGAAGAGGAAGTGGTTTGCATGGTCGAGTATAACGCCCGTGTGTGCTTGCATTCTATGGGGGCCTGAAAAGACTAAGGGCCGGCCTGCTTGGATGGATGGACAAAGGACCAGGCCGTAGGCATAGGAGAGGCGGCTAGGGGGAGGGAGCGGGGCAACTGCCCCGAGGAGGCCTTAGGACCGTGTAGTTAAAAAGTGTGTGGCCTAAGGAGAATGCTTAGCCTACCCATGAGAAAGAAGAGAGACTCACAAAGAACTCCCTGGACTGCATGAGTATTGGAAGGAGCAATTGCTTCGTCACACAAGGGGAGAATCGAGAACCTACGCTTGCGATTCCAACCAAGTGAGGCCACCACCCGACAAGAGGGCTGAGCTACATCCCCCAAAATCAAGCTCTCTCGCCCTTATCGGCTCGGCCCCACCCATATCAAAGCACTAGGTGTGGGTGCCCCTGGGACGAACGACCCGCGCCCCGAGAGTGAGTGTGGGCGGGTCGAGCCAAGTGGGACCCGCAGTGGGGTCGACCAAGGCTCGAAAGTCCTTCAGGGTAAGGCCCCGACAAAATGGTGGAGATGCCGGGTATGGGTTAAATTGACCCATACGGTCTCGAGGGGGGCACCCGACGCATGGCCGAGAACACAAACATAAAGATAAGGAATATGGACTTGTGTATGCTCTATCCTTTGAGAAAATCAGATTTGAGGGTGGCTGGGCGCATGGCAAGGTCTAGCCTGGAGGAAGAACATGTATGCTTGCACTTTTACTCAGCCATCTTCTTTGGAGATTACTCTAGTCCTCCTTCCCTTGGACTGATGCTCGTCAGGCCAGGGAATCGTCAGGCCAGGGAAGCCTTGGGCAAGCCGGAGGTCGACCCTTCCTCTTCGTGTGAAAGGAGGGCACCGGTTACCTGGCAGGCGGTTGGGATTCCGGGCCAGTCCGGGTTCCAATGAAAATTCCGCGGCGGAGCGATCCGACCGACCTGGGTGCTTCTCTACTTTTCTTCGGAGCCCAGCGGGCTCCGTGCACCGCACTTAAATGCTTGAAGGAACCTTACATGAACACAAGCGGTAATTGAGAAGGAACAATCCCACCCTATGAACGGACACACAAGTGAAGAGGAAGGGAATGAAGGGAGTTGCTAGACTCCAGGGAAAAACTAGCTCCCCCTTGAAGATGCTCACGAAAAGGAACCGGGCACAATGTATGGAAAGTAGGGGTGAGTGGCACATGCTGTCCTGAGAGAAAATTTGTGAGCTATGGGTAGGAAGCGCTGGGTGCACCAGGGGAAAGGCACTCGTGTTATGTGTGTCCCACTTGGGACTTGTGATTGCATGATTGGGATTTCGAGCGTCCTGCCATTCGGAAGGAAAGGATTGGTTTACGCCGGCCGGTGCGGGATGCGAACTGGTCGCCCTCTTTGAAGTTCACCGGGTTCCGTGTGTCGGGGTCGGGCCACCGGACTGTTAGGCAAGGGTTGGTAGTCGGCTGATTAGTAGCATTTTCACCAGAGCGGTCCGAGCATGGCTCAATGATCTTGCCTAGGCGAGATGTGAAACCTCTTCAGGCGGGGCGGCTGCTTGTCGGCAGACGGCAGGGGGACCACTGCATATGGGGCAAGGAAGGAGCCTCGGAGGCGATTAAAAGTTGTCGTAGCATGGCTTGGGGAAAGCTGTTCCTTATCGGACTGATGGAAGTGAATGCCTGGACGACTGGCTCCAATGGCCCTACCGAGATATGCGGGGTGATTCCCGAGATTAACGGTGGGTACACGAGCGACAAGTCGGCATGGGGTATTCTGGGTAAGGAGGAAAGGGCGTATGCCTTGCCGAGACCTGGGTACCGCGCTCGCGACGGTTGAGTTGTGCTGGAGGGATGGGCTGAAAACCCTGCCGATAGCAACAGTGGAGAGACCATTTCTGGGAAAAAGGTTGGTGAGGAGATGACCGACCTGTGTGCGACGTTTGCCTAGTTTTGCTTTTGTGCCTCCCTCTGTAAAGTTGCATGATGATTGTGGGAAGTCTATTCTCACCTTCAAGTCTAAGTCCGCACGAGTGAGAGAACATGAGGAAGAGGTTGGATAGGAGTCGGAAGAAAGTGGAACCAAGAAAAGGAATGCGAGTCGCTGGTGATCGATTGGGGGGGGGACTGGTTAGGGATGTGGCGCTGGCTGATACGCTTGGAGGATGGGTAGAGAACTTTAGGGAGACCTTGATGAGGGGTCTCTAAAACAACGCTCATCTAGGATAATGGTGGAGCTAACCCGAGGGCCGATTGGTGCGCTCATTGGACGAAACAGGTCTCGGCCACCAGTATAAAGAGGGCGGGATGGCACAGTGGCTGACGTCGCCGACCTACGCAGATGGACCAGAGATGCCAATAGATGTGAAGGGTGGGGTATCAGTTGTAATGCCAGAGGAAGGAACGTGGGCGGACCTGGAGCCGGCCTATCAAACCGTAATGCTGGCCGAAAGTGATGCCTTCCTATGGATTGAAACGATGTGGACTAAGGTAACCTTGGCCAGGATAACGCCATGCCTATTGGACTTAGAGTTCCAGGGGACCGTGGAAGCCCGGGGATGGATCTACCTGTCAAAGGAGAGGGAGACTGCGATGATCGTCGAACTCGCCCTGGGGAAACTTCCATACAAACTGTTCAGGGAAGCGGAGCGGGAAGTAGTGTGGGCCGCGTGCCAACGAGTGGAAATGACGATGGAATCGATCGATGTGCGGGCAGAACTTGGGGATAGGAAAAACGTGCGGAAGCCGTAGAGGGCCCTAAGGTGTGTCATGCCACCCTTCATGGTAGACGCCGTCTTTGGAACCCGGAGTAGGTTGGTGCGAATATGCAGGGCCATGGCAGGGTTGGGGTTGCACCAGGGAGCCCGCCAGGATTTCTTCAGGCTGTCGGTCGAACTTGGACCCTTCGACGGAAACTGGGCAAGGGAACTGGCCAAGATTTTAAACCATCTCAGCACAGACGGCCTGTTCGTCCCAAGCGACGTGCACTGGCGGATCGTTTACAGGAATGTTGCGGTAGGGGAAATCTTTCTGGAGGGTGTACGGGACCTGTGGCCTGAAGAGAATGAAGATGACTCCGAGGAGGAGGACGAGATGAAAATCGAGGAATGGGATTTCTAGGAAAAAGGGGGGGGCTGAGGACGGTGTGGTTGGGTCGCGTGGGGATGTGCAAGGGATCCAGGATGGCAAGGGAGCGAAGCTTGTGGGCGCGGATGTTTAGAGGATGGGCTCCTAGGAAGGTCGAGGGCGGGGTAGAGATGGTCTTGCCAACAAGGAACAAGTGGCGCGGAGCGGCCTGCGACTGGGTGGGAGTAGAGATGGTATCGACTATGTCCTTTTTGTGGGTAGAACGGGTGTGGGATCCAGATCGAGAAAATGAGGCGTGGGATGAAATACCCGAGGGGAACGTGGAAGCACTTGGGACGGTGTGCCCTTTGAAGAACGGGTGGTATATGTTTTGCACGCACCTAGCGGCGGGACGGGACCCGATGTGGATTTTAGAGGATGCCGAGCAGTTGACTTGGGAAATGGGGAAGGATTTTGCAAATAAGGGGTGGGATGAAGTGGGCAGCAGGGTCGTGATGGGGGGATGGGAGGACCTTAGGCTCCCCTACCAGTTAGTCCAAGTGAGGGTGCCGCATTTTGTTGCAGACTGGTTCGGAGGGTATGAGCATATCCGCGCCGTAGCGGAATCCATGGATGAGGTAGAGCTAGGCTTCGCCTGGTTATCAGACGCTTATTACGAGGCGTCATTGCGGTTCGGGCCGTTTCACGGGGACCGGGCTGAGGAAGTGGTCAAGATCCTGAAGGAACTTAAGGACTACCGACTAGAGGTAGGAGAGGAAGTCGAGGAGGCGATACTCCGCCGGGAAATAGCCGTAGCGCCCTCGTATGTAGGGGACGTCTTCTTGCTGTTTGAGGTCCTATGGATTTGAGTACGGACCTGGGAAGACAAGGGGATAGGGGGATTGACTAGGGGAAATAAAGGGCATTGTACATTAAAAGAAGGGGTAATGTACACAAAAGGGGGGGGGGCTAGGGCAATTAGGAGATGAGGGGAGAAGACGAGAACTAAGGGAACTTGACTAACGTGGTGCATGCAGAAATCAAGAGCGAGGAGCGGGAGCAGGTAACGAGAAATGGCTAGGCGTATGACGCTTTGGGAAACTCGACCGCGAGGAATCTTGCCGCCACGTTTCTTGGATAGAAGGGTGGAGGTTAGCCTACCTTCCAGGGGCGGGCTGTATAATCCGGTGATGGACTGGGTTGGGGTAGAACTGGTAGGGGACACGGTGTACCTGGTGGTGGACCTAGAAAGGCGCGCAAGGGGTGAGTTTGGGGGCACCAACCTGGAGTTGCCAGAACGGGTACATGCGACAGGGTCCCTATACTTGTCGGATGCGGGATGGCGGACCTTCGGGGTGGCCTTGGCGGATGGCGATGACCCCGTACGGATGTTTGACGGGGCGTGGCAGGTGACCTGGAGGGAAGGGTTTGCGTTCGCCAACCCAAATCGGGATGACGTAACGGCGACCGTCCGGGTGGTCGAGGTAGGAGCTAGTATCGTGCCTTATGAAAATGTGCGCATGATCTTGCCACCCTTTTTGCTTGAGGGAATGGGAGGAGAACGGGCTGAGATGGCAGTGATAGCCATGGGTAGGTTGAGTTTTAGTAACATGACCGTCTATCGAGAATACTACCGGGCCTTCCTGGAACTAGGGCCGTTCGATGAGGAACAAGAGTACGAGGTGTTAAACATTCTACAGGCCATAGTGGGCACTAGACCTGGAATACCGACAGTAGCCGAGGAAGTCGTGTGGGAGATAGTTAGGCGCGAGATAGGATGAGGGCTGACATATGTGGACGACGTCCGCCGGCTGTTCGAGGGGGTAGAAGAATAGGAGGGCAGAAAAGAAAAGCAAGGGGGAAGGTAGATCAGCGGGATCGGGCTATAAGGGGGCTTGAAGAAAACTAAAAAGAGAGGTTCCTGTTCCCTTTTCCTTTTTTCTTTTGCGTGGTGTATGCAGGGCGATATTCGCCAACAATGGCGGCAAGACGCGTCCGTACGAACCGGCGGGACATGCACCCGCAACCGCCCATGAAAACCAGAGGCGGATGGGAAGTGTCACTCCCGGCAAGCTACATTGTTTGGGTGATAGATACGGAATGGCGGGCTGTGACCCTAGGATGGAATCAGGCTTTCATGCTAGTTGAGTGCCTATGGGGTGGCATGAGATTCGATAGGGGGCCAGGAGACGACTTATATACTGACCTCAGGGTGACAGGGACTCTATACTTCCTACAAATCGGGTGGCAAATGTTGGGAACTGAACTGGCCCTGGGGCATGGGTTGTTACCAGTATTCCGAAGGGCAGTCAGGGTCCTGAACCGGATAGGCCATGAGATTAGAGGAAGACGGAATGTGGGATTAAGGACGCGAGTAGAAGTAGGGGGATGGCGAGACTTTAGGGCCCCTATGTCTGGACTGCGTTGCCGGGTGCCCCGGTTCATGTTTGATTTGGTTTTTGGGAGTCTCCCTCGGGTAAGAGACCTGGTGAATTCAACCGTAATCTGGGAACGCTACTTCTCACCACAGGCCAAGGGAATGTTCTATGACGTGGCAGTAAGGCATGGGCCGTTCTGGGGAAATCGGGCGTGAGAATTGCTGGAACTCCTTGAGATCCTGATATTCGAAACGCCCCGTCTGTCGTTTGAGGAATACGAGCCAATAATCATAAGGGAGATCAGGATGGGGGAGAACTATCTCGCAGGGGTGGCAAGACTATTTGAGGAACCGGATGAGAGGGAGAGACCGGAAGAGCCAGCGTAGGAAAGATGCCGAGAAAGATGGTAGAAATAAGAACCAAAGGGAAAGAAAAATAGGTATAAAAGAACCGATTGGATGGCCGCGACCAGGGCTACCATGGGTTGAACATATGCCAGGAAAAGGGGGTGAGAGGCGTCGTTGCAACCAAAGGTGCGGCAAAGATGCCTAGTGTAAGCAAAGGGAAGAGCAAAAAGGGGTGAAAAATAGGCGATTCTAAAGGCTAAGAGAATTATGTGCGATTGCCAAATTTTTTTTTTTTTTTTCTCTTTCTTCCATATTACAGGGTTGGAGGAAGGAAAACATGGCCACGGGAGACGAGGCTGGAAGTCAATTGAGGGACGAAAATCAGGACGTAGAGGACGACGTAGATCAAGAAGAGCGGGACCTAGGGGATCAGGGGTCGGCAAAGTCACTAGGAAACAGGGAGAGGAGCAAGGACGCTATGACTGGGGAAGATTCAGGAAAAAGCGGGGGAAGTAAACGGGGGACTGCGGGAACCAAGGAAGTTAGAGACAGGGAGAGTCCGGCACGTCAGCAGCCCGAGGGGGCGGAGCCGAAAAAGGTCAGGCTAACGGAAGCATGGAGAAAACTAGCCGAAGTAGAGAGACGCACGGCAGAGTACAGGGCAAAACTATTGGAAGAGATCATGAACGATGCCGAGAAAAAATGCCGCCGATAACAGGACGGGGGAAGAAGGGGAGCTTGGGGATGCACAACACAGGAAGGATCGGCCCAGAGACACGAAGGACACCCCAACAAGGAAAGGGAAAGAAGGAATAGAATTCCTTAGGGAAGATAGGGATAGACAAGTAAACCCACCCCTACTGGACAGCGGAGCAAGCCGACCCTCGACGTCGCCTGTAAGTGCAAAAGGATGCGAGGGACTTTGGAGCCTGAGGGAAAGGGTGCTAGGATGGTTTGACCCGGAGGGGATCGCAAAGCCAAAAGGGCAACTCGATTTCAGCAAGGAAGCCGCCGGCCCGAGCTCCGCGACAGGACCGGGGATGATTGAGGGAGGGCTTAGGAAGGTGGTGTCGTCCCTCACGCGTGCTCTAAGCAAAAACCAGGGATACTTGGCCGACGCCAAGAAAAAGCTGACTTTCGATGGCGGAAACATCACCAAGTTCCCAGTCGATTATGAAAATCTAGCAGCCTTACTAAGAGGGACTGAGGAGGAAAAGATGGAGCACCTAGGCCAGCATGTGTCGCTCAACCTAGGTAGGGACATAATGGCAATCGTTGCAACAAGCAGATCATGGAAGGAGGCCAGAGACGTGATGATGAGGAATTATCTAGCAGATGAAAATTGGCCACGGAGGCGGAATTGGCTACAGTGCAGAGGAAGAATTTCGCAACATACAGCGACTTCTTAAGGGAGTTCAATCTCGTAGCACTACGGATCCCCGGAGTGACGGACCGAATAATGAGCAAGTACTTCCTAAAGCAGTTCATCGAGTTTGACAAAGACAAGATCTTGTCCGCCTACCAGCAGACAACAAAGTTCCTGAACACTAGATATGTAGATTTCAGCACTATAACGGATATTGCAGAGAAGATGGTGGTGACTGACTCGTTGGCTCTGCTAAAAGAAGGAGAGATCATAGATTTGACAGGCAAGACTGGAGATAAAGTGAAGAAAGGAATCAAGAGCCTGCACGAGCGGGTCCACGGGGTTGACGGCAAGATAGAGAGAGTAGAGAACGCCTTACTGGTGATGCAAGCTCAGGTCTCG